TCGGCTAAGATTGCAATGTTGTGCGCACCGCTAACTTGGAAACACTGCAACGTTTAGAACAGGATCGTACAATGTCTTCTGTTTGGCTATCCATCATAGACCAAAACACGTATCTGCGCGCAAGTGCTTTCATGCAGGCGATTCCTGGCTGGTCCTTATGCAACTGCCTCAGCACGCGTTGCCTGAGTACTTCGGGAATGACAAGGCGATCCGCGAAAAACAGACAGGCATCGACTTCGGACTGAGCGTCGCGTCGCGTGAAAAACTCTACAAGGGATTCGTCACGGCATTGCTTTAGCCAGCCTTGTCTCCTATAAGTCGATATTTCCTGTAGCAATGCGTCTTGGTTCGTGGCTTGCTGAACCATTCTTGCGTTTACCGGTAAGGTACTCACGGCATCGCGTATCATGTGGCTGGTATCCTTGTCGGTTGTGATTGAAGCAATAACGGCATCCTCAGGCTCACATCAACTGGTATCGATTAATCTGGACAGGGCGTCCGCTTGCCCAATGGAGTCAGTTGACGAATACCTCATGTTGAAATCATATCCCAAGAGCAAGGGGGCCATCTCTGAAGTTGACTGGCGGTGTACGCCGGAATACCCTTTTTGGATCCAAAGATAGCGAGTAAGAGATTGTGATCCGTCACTGATGTGAAACGCCGACCGTAAATCATTTTGTGGAATTTCTGAACAGCAAAGACAATAGCGAGAGCTTCTTCCTCGATTTGGCTGTACTTCTTCTTAGAGGTGGTCAGGGCTCTTGCCACATGCGCCACAGCCTTTTATGAACCGCCTGGAAAGCGGTGTGAAATGACTGCACCAGTTCCATAGTTCGAAGCGTTTGTAGCCAGGATGATATCCGGATTTGGATTGTAATAAATAAGCAGTTGGTCTGATTTCAGCAGAGATTTCAATTTCTCGAATGCCTGTCGACACGGTCTGGATCATTACCATTCGACATCTTTCATCAGCAGATGATTCAAGGGTTGGCGTAGATGATGCATAGCTGGCAGAAACTCGCTATAATGACTCACCATTCCGAGGAACGATTTCAGAGTTGTGACATCCATTGGTGTAGGCAGTCGATCTAATACCTCAATGTTCTCGGAGTCAGGATGTCAACCGCGTGGATAAATCACGAATCCTAGGAACTTAATGGATTTCAAGAAGAATTTGCATTTGTCTGCGCGTAAACGGAATCCATAATCTTTGATTCGCATCATCACGTCATCCGGTCGTTAAAATAATTCATCATATGTGGTGCCCATTATGATGATGTCATCCAGATAGGCTGCAGCTCCACTTACCCCAGTCAACATGGCATTCATGATTTGCTGAAAAATTGCGGGTGCGGTTCTAACTCTAAATGGCAGACGATTGTATTGGTACACACCGCGATGGGTGTTGATCGTACGAAGTTTTCTACTTTCGGATTCAACTTCCAGTTGTAAATAAGCATCCGTCAGATCCAAGATCGCAACATATTTGCCACCATTCAGCTTCGCGAACAGGTCGTTAGAAAGTGGAAGTGGATACTGATGGCTTGCAATGCATCATTCAGACCAGTTGAAAAATCAGCACACAAGCGAATAATCACGACGATTGGGGCAACACGTAGTGAGAAATTTATTGGCTGAATCACGCCGATTTGCTGCAATCGGTCAAGCTCATGTTCAACGGGACCGGGCGCCTAGGACGAAACACTGGTGTAGCACCAGGTAACAGAGTAAGCTTTGCCTGCATCTTGCTACAATGTCCAAGTTCAGGGTGGAAAACACAAGCATACTTCGCCTGAAACTGTTCAACGATGGTTTAACTTGGATGAGGTGGTATGGCTGTATGATGCACCATGACGTTCGTTTCAGAACACACATTATTCAGTGGAAATTCAATCTACCAATCCAACCAGTGCCAAGAAGATTAATGTCGACACAAAAAACTAAATAGATGGTTCCACGGAGACTCAGATCTTTGAATTTAATGTCACATGTGAACTCATCATCTAACCTCAGTGGTTCTCCGGATGTATTTTGGGCAGTCAGATTGGTGCGCCTCAGTGGAGATTTGCCAAGTCTCGTCCATGATGATCGAGAAATGGTGGTAATGTCGGATGCCGTATCTAGTTGTAAGGATATAGGAACATTGTTACTTTTGATGGTGAGGTACTTTCGTTCCCCGCAAATTCTGTGCGACAGGTCGCGAGAACTACTTTTGTCTTTGCTCCCTGAAACGACATATTTTTGTATTTAGAGTTCGTGTACAAGTTTGGGGTAGACACAGGCCATGAACCATATGTTTTGCGACACTATGAATGTGTATCAAAGTGCGCTGACATCCGGATTGAGTAAGCGCCCACTGAACACCGTCGAAGATCACTGGTCGCATATTCGTCAAACCTTACTATCAGTATGCCAACACACCGACTCCGCGACATGCGTTGTTTGCGCGCCGGGGGTGTGGATGGGAGAAGTGGAGAGGGGGCCAAGCGATGATTTCGTCGAGAGAAGTTTTCATCGGTTGGTGCATTCCGACTGCCTTGCTGGGGTCCTAAGGACGATGAACACGTTTGGTTGGACTCACTTGGTGATATGGTGAAGAGCCGGTCCTAGTGTTGTTTATATTATGGGTTTCTTTTTCCAACCCCTTTAGTATCCCTCCAATTGTGATCTCAAACGAGATGCATAAAATAGTATTTAACAATTTATTGTTTTTTTTTAAATTATTTTAGTGTGCTTTTTCTAGCCTATTTTTTGTATCGCGGCACATTAACTGAAGTGTGTTTCACCCTCAACTAATGTGCATTGATGGTGATGATGTGCGGTTCGCTGCACGGTTTGGCATGTACTTCACACCTTCATAGTGCATGGTGCTGTTGCAGGACTGAGCCGATACACCTCCGGTTTTGGCTATTTCCGTACAGCCACTGGAAGTGGTGGATCGGTTCACTTCCTTGGTAACTGTGTCACCTCTGGTGGTCACATCACTGACATTATTTCGTCTGTCAGAAATACTTGTGTAGCTTTTCACAGGCACGACCACCTATGGATGAGACAGCAAGATAGCTTTTCATTGCAAGCTTGGGTGTATAACGCTGCGATAAGGTCAGTTACTGTATGGATCGGAGACGGGGTCAGTCCGCAATGAAGACGTTAAACGCCGTGTCGTGTTTGACCACCGTTGCTCGCGGAGTATTGCTCACGTTTGATAAGAACACTAGGCGAGGAATACTGAGTCCGCCAGTTTGTTTTTAGCAGCGAGCCTTCTGGTGCCTCTCGAGTGCTTGCTAAATCTCAGTCGCTTGCGTTAGCTTGGCCATGTCCTTCGTATGCCCGTTGATCAGCTTCCTCGGCGTGCAATATACGCCATGGTTGCACCAAGTTGGGCGAAACCTCGACGTAGTCAGTCTATGGCTTAGGGGCTTGAAGAAATTGACTGAGAGACTTGGTAAGACTGGTGCCGTCTTCCTGGATGGGGGCCTCTGGATGACTCACACTAATGGTTAGAGACTTAGCGCAGTTACAAAATCAGTGGCGCTCCTGCATTCGGCTTCTCTCATCTTACTGTTAATTTTTGTTGTATTCTGATTTGTCTAACACATTTCCTTCTTGCTTTCATTTCCTCTGCATGGTATTTGTGCCCAAACCTACCGGTGTTATTTATTGTTATTCTTGCGGTGTTTGTCTTGGCAACTGGATCCACCTCACTTCGGCGTCCAGGCAATATTTGCTCAGCTGATCTGAACCGAACTGATGACTGTACTACTGTCTGAGTTTCTAATATCGCCACTTACTGCAGCGGTCTTCAGACACTCATTGGCTTCCACAGCTTTGAGTTGAATCCCTTATCAGAATGTCTCAGTCATCTATGCATGCCTTTATGATATTTGGTTGTGGACTAATCGTGAGGTATGGATTAGTGCAGTATCGTCGGTATTAATGTGTGGATCGGTGAACCAGGCTGTGCTCGTTAATGAGAAGCCATTGCGCGGCATTGTTTACAGCCGCCATGAGAGTGCAGAGCAAGTGCTACTAACATACACCAGTGTTCAGTAACAAACCACCTGGTGCATCGCGGATTCGTCTACTTCATTTGAGTCACTTTCGGTTAGATCATCCAAGTTCCATGTCGTCGACCATGTACCTTATTGTGCGTTGTTTACGGAAACATCAGGATGGAAGAAACCTCAGCGTGATCAACTGATGGCCTAGAGTATAGACACGTGTAGATTGAATGATTAATTGTTCTGGTTATTTTTCAATGTATTTACGGTCTCTACTTGACAATCGCGCTCGACCAATCTAGAGCACGTGATTCACCAACTCTTTTTGAACGTGGTACTATAGCGGTCACATCTACTGGGTAAACGCGCTTATTTTCTCTTAGCGACCTGTCCTATCTACAGCCTCTGAATGATACCATGCATTTAGGACTCTTTAGCACTACCATACGTGTCTACCGGCCTGTTAGAAATTCGTCGCTTTCGCCCATTTTTTCCCTTATTTCTTCAGGCATTTCTCCGGAAATGCAGCTTGCGAGTGGCGCGGCATAGGATACTGATCCTACACTAAGTCCGCACAACTTCCCTATCATTTTTTCCCTCTATTGTAATGTAAATTTGCCACCGAGTACAGTCATCACTCCCTTTTCTCCGTACCCCATGTTTATTCAGTTGATCGTGTATTCGATGCTTCACCTTATTCGTGCGTTTTCGCAGAGGACCTGTCAGTCCACGTTTGTAGTACCGATACCCTTCTCTATCGTCGCTGAGCGATCAGTTGGAGTGTTTTGTCGATTGTTCGCGATTCCAAATCATTGCACCACGTTAAAGTACACGCATTTTACACAGAGATTTTCCACGAGCAATTTGTGTCTCATTGTCTACCCCTAAATTCATTGTACCCACTTGCTGTTTTTGTGTGAAACATTGCTTTTCTTGATCACCCTAAACATCCTATCACTTTACTCACTTTACTGTCCTTTGCGCACATTCCTTTCTCAGGTATTTGCAAGAGTTCACTGCACTCGGGACTGCTGGCGGAATTTATCAGTTTCGAGATCAGCTGCTCTCCGGATCACCCGATCTGTTGTTCGTAATGAACGGTGATGTCTGTTGCGATTTGCCCCTAGAAGGAATGCTGGAATTCCACGCTAGCCTAGGCTCCGGTGACCGGTTTGTGGTTATGGCTACCGAGGTACGGTTAGCTTGTTTCCATCGCTTGTTAATAGTGTTTTTTCATTTCGCATGGGGCTCTGTTGGTGCACCGTGTTTTTATGTGTTTCATTCCCACTTCTGACATCCCTATGCTTTCATCCAACCTCTCTAGGCTACCCGCCAGCAATCGATGAAGTTCGGTTGCATCGTCGAGAACCCAGAAACCCATGAAGTGAGTATTTGTGATGAACGAACTTCAACTTTTTGCCATATGCTACACTTGTCACCCTACCCGGATTGCCTCCACATGCTCATCGTTCCAGTTCCCCCGCCCCTAATCCACTTCCATTTTCACGCTTCGTAGGAACTGGTTAGCTCTCACACCCGCCTGTATCCTTGCCTTCTAATCCGGGGGGCGCGGGTTCGAACCTGTGTAGGGACCGCGCGACCCTCGCAGTATCCTTAGCCAACGTGCGACTGATGGTGATTGTACGGCAGCGAAACATCCGTACTGCGTACCGGCGTACTGCTGATGCCCTTCTCACACGCCGCCATCTTCTCATTGAGTATATCCACTAGACTCATGCAGTCCAACTCCATTTTTTGCATGTGTCACACTGTGTGATGACTTTCTCGTGTACTTATCACTTGAACTGTGATCACATGACTGGTTCCTTAAGGTGTCCTATGTGGCCCTACTCGTTCAACCTGCTCTTCTTTCGCCTCACGCGTATCACCCGGGTGGTGCATCAACACGCGATCTTTGTGGTCACCTTCCAGCACTCATGTATTCGTTACTTGGCTTGAAGCTATTGGCTGAGTCATGTTTCCAGTGTCTCTTAGTCACATGAGAGATGGGATTTCAGCCTGTCAGCAGAAGATAGAGTGTAAAGCGATGTGATAACGCTTGTGTTAGTTTGTGGATCAGAACCCTGACCAGTTCGCGACGAAGACATTTAGCGCTTAACTGTGTTTGACCATCGGTATTTGCGGAGTATTGCTCACGTCTGGTGAGAACACCGGATGAGTAGTGCTGAGGTCCGCCAGTTGGTTTTTTGCAAGAAACCTTCTGGTGCCTCAGTCGACTGTTTGCTGAATCTTAACTCCCTACGTTGTCTAGATTAAGTCTTCCGTATGCTGACACGTAGTTTTGAGGATCGCATGCCTGCCTTGTAATCCTAGGGCGTGGGTTCGAGCCTGTGTAGTGACCGGGCGACTCTCACAGTATCTTTAGCCAACTTGTGAAACGTGGTGGTTGTGCGACAGCGAAGCATCGGGACTGCATACCGGCATACTGTTGATACCTTCCGTATGCCCGGCGACCGCCTTCATCGGCGTGCATAATGTGCCGTCACTTCAACAAGTTAGAAGAAACTGCAAGATGGCTGGTTGATGACGTGGCGTAAAAGCAATGAGATATTGACTGAGAGACTTGACTAGGCCGATGCGTAACGTCTTGGATGGGGGCATTGTGGCACTGTCCGTTGAGGAATGGTATTCCCGGGAACTTCGTTTCGATTCTGCGTGCTCTGTATAGTCTGACCTCGGGTTAGGGCTTCTGGCAACCTTTCGCCTTCCTTTGTTGTCACCATTGTGGTTCGAAAAGGATGCCCTATCTCTCCATTCTTCTTCAACTTTGCCATTGAGGATGTCCTCAAAAATGCTCTAGAAGACTTGTTGAATGCTGGCGTTGAGCTACTCCCTGGTAGTCGGTGGTTGATTTGGATTGCGCTGATGACATCTTGTTTGGTGACGGTCCGTCGACCGTCCAGCTTGCATTTAACCGCCTGGCGATTGAAGCGTCGAAGTATGGCATGCACTTTTCACCATCCAAGTACAAAGCACTTTTTCAAGACTGATATACGCCCCTACCTGCACTCACCATCAATGGGGAAACGTTAGAATTAGTGCAGAGGTCTATCCACCTGGGAAGCTGCATAACTGCTGGTGGGGCTGTTGAAAACGGGATTTCGATGCATATCTTAAGAGCTCGCCATCCGCATAAAAGGTCTCTCACAGCTAACTACGCAGTATTTGTTATCAATCATGCACTAGAATATATATATATATATATATATATATATACCATGATAAGTCTCTTTATTTCAGGTGGTGGGTTTACAGTTTGTGCCTTAATGCTTTTCTTTCTCATATAAATGTCTACCAGTACTATATTCCATTAACTTGCACACCTCGCCTAAGCCAATTGTATTCGATTTCCGTAGCATATTTGTGTTCGTGGCATTCTGTGAACTATATTTCCTGACCTCGTGCACTTAGCTAGGATTTGTTTGTAAACAACTTATTACATATGCTATTTAATTAAGGTTTATATCACCGTTTCCTTATGCATTAATCGAGTTTTTCTCTTTTTCTTCCTCTCTCAAATGTTTGGTTGTTGTTTGATATTCCCGGTGTGGATGCGCTTGATGTGCATGTTGACAAGGTGCCTACCTGTCTATTACCCACTACCTCGTCCATACTGGCTCCAGGAGACAGTTGGTCTTTACTGGAGGGGACAGGGTGCACGGTCCTTGTGGCCGTGTTAGGATCAAAGAGTGGTTCCATGCAGTCAGTGTGGAGCAGACTACGGTCCAGCCACCGCCTTGTGTGCGCTTGATTCCCAAATACAGTGTGCTTGTGTTTGCCTGTGAAGGAGTGTGGGCTGGCTCCGTTGATGAAACGTGGTTCCCATCCGCATGCCTCCCGGTCTTATTCCTTCGGGTTTACACCGGATATGGGGTGTGTGGTTGGAGCTGTAGGTGGTGCAGCGCAAGCCATCCGTGGTCCCTCTGTAGGCGCAGGCGTCCTGTGGCTTGCCACAGTGACAGGCAAATCCGAAACCGGATGCCGCCAACCATATATATATATATATATATATATATATATATATATATATATATATATATATATATATATATATATATCACTGGTTAGTGACCTTATCGAACATGTCTCAATCGGGCAGTCAGTGGTGTCCCTGTTTTCAGTTCCTTGCATCGAGTCGTTAATTTTCATTCTATCCCGTTGATCTTAACGCACTTTGATACGCTATGCCAAGCGCTCACCGCGTGCGTGCGTACGTGTGTTTGTTTTCCGGCTATTGCCTATCTGCCATAGGCATTGTTTCGTGATTTGATGCAGCGTCCATATGACTCACGAACATACGAATGCCTTGCGACTTCTTTTTGATGTTCGGTGGTTCTTGCCGTTCACGTTTTCTGCTTTCGTCTTGGCGTAACACTTATTTCTTTATTGTACCCTTTATTTGCATTCAACCTTATTTTTTTACTTCTTATGTATTGTTACCCTGGCACTGTAAGTCGTGGCAGCTGGGTCCACCGCATTTCGATGCCCTGACCATTGTTGATTAACTGAACTTAACTGCCTTCTCAGTTGCATCGACACAGGAGTTCCAAGTTAAGATAGACTGCACCATTGCTTCTACTTATCACTGTGTCTTAGATTTAGTCTGACGGTTTTTCTATGTAGTTGGGCTACAGCAACGTTGTTTTCCCCAGATCGACAACACGCAGTCGCATTTCTGTTGAAAATCGTACTCGTCCCTTTTTCCACCGGTTTGAGGTATCCGTTGCTCAAGGCCCATCTTTATAGTTTTTTTTCAAATTACGGAGATAGCAATATTTTCTTGTCGGCATGGAAAAGTTTGAGGTCAACCTACGCGTTATCCAACAATGTTCCCCTCACCATTTCCATTTGCTTGTTTTACAACGACATTGGACAGAATGTCCTCGGTGATTTCCTGCTTATGTAATATCCACAAACTTCGTTGCTACTTTGCTCTCGCCTATACCGGGTAATTTACAGGTTCGGAACGTTGCTTTTTAGGTCAGACTGCGGTTACTTATCCTGCAACTGGGAACGAATTGCTCCACACCACGCAGCTGTCAACCTCAATAGTTCTCCTCTACCATGGTACTCTAGCTAATACTCGGCAAACGAATTTGTACGGGCTCTCACCTGATCGGTTTACGATTTGAGGTGTGTACACACACGCTCAGCTTCTGCATCCCCCTGGTATTAAAACCTGTGGGATGCCAATGTCTCTTTTGACCTACAAGTCTTACCATAGGAGCCAGCGTTTCCTTGTTGTAGACTTCGTTCAATTTGTACTGAGCACACGCGTTGCTTCCACCGATTTGGAACATGTCTTTTGCTGGCCCGTTTGACGTCACTCACTTTACTGCGCCGCACAACCCTTTACACTCGGACTAATTAAGTCACGTTTTTGGCTCTGTTGGCCGCCTTCCCGAACGCTTGCTTCACGCAGCCCGAATTCTCTTGGTTTAGATTCACGAATGACTGGTCACTGATCGAATACTTAGGTACGGGAAAATTAGCTGGACTCGATTGTTCTAGTCCGTTTCACCTTTACGGCTAGGCTTCCCAAGAGGCGTTACATCTATATATTTGGGCATCTTGTCTAACATGGTTCAATTATTCACTATACTGCGTCTATTTTATTGATTGTAACCTTCACCCCTTCCATCTTTACGGATTTACCCTCTTATGACTCATTTCCCACCATATTTGCTGCTTGTATTTTCGTTTTCCTCTTTTCTCGACTTTTCTAACTGTTTGGCCGCCATTACACAGCAGTCGGCTTCCCAGCTGAGCCACTCCATTTCGTCAAGGGTCCGAATATCTCCTTAGAGAAGGCCAAGCATGGCTCACCCAGGCTGCCTTCGGTTCTTGCGGTTTAGATCATCTTAGGCTTTGTTGATTGCGCCCTTAGTTGTAAGTTACCTTCCATTTCTCTCTTTGGAGCAGGTGAAACAATCTAGGGTTTTGTCACTCCGCAATCTCTAAATTCATATTACCGACCTATTTTTGGTTGAAAATGCACGCTGTTTATCAATAACATCTTGATTTCTGTCCCGCATCGATGTTTCGCTCAGCGTAATATTATGACAAACGGTTAGTCCTCATGACAGTTTTGCGGAACGACCTATGGCAATCTGAGGTACCACGGGTTCATGTTTTTAGTAAAGGTACCAGCTACCGGCTACTCCATACTGTGCCCTCACTGATTCCTAGGTATTGTGTTTTCTTTCCAGATCATGCACTATGCAGAGAAACCGGCTACATTCGTCAGCACTACTATCAACTGTGGAGTCTACCTATTTACTCCTGGTATTTTCAAGTTTATTCGCATTGCCTTTCTACAAAACCAGAATCGGATGAAGTGAGCTCACCTTTCCTGATTCTTTCTTTTGTCTCTATCCTCGTCGTCCATTTCAAGTTAAGGTCGCAATTTAAGTCAACGTGCGCTTTATACACTTTCAGTGTAAATAATCACTGCAGATATAACAAAATATGCCAGGTTCCGAAGTTGCTTGGTCCCATCAGGGGTAGATACAGCAGGTACTCGAATCCTGGGCGTTTTTGGATGTTAACTGAGGCCTCTATCCCTAAGCCGCCGAGTCTCAATTGCCAACGCTTGTCACAACGGTTGATGCCTGATTGGATGGTCATTTTGAAACACTCCTGTGCAATATTTTCTAGCGGGAAACACCAAACATCATTCTCGGTCCCAGTGATCGTATTGGTTAAGACTCACTTCAATGCCTGTCACAGTATTAACTGAGCTTGTACGTTACAGACCATTCACACAACGAGTATTTCAAACTGACCTATCAGTCAGTCAGTAACCATTGCGACAAGTGTTGCCCGTCGTGACTTGGTGCCTAGAAGGATAGTGGTCTCGGTTAACACCCCCCCCGCTTCGGGTTTGAGTCTTGATGAGAGGAAACAAGGTAGAAATGCGTCGTGGAGTACAGTGTTTCCAGGCGAGCAACCCGCAGTTTCCATCTGCTTTAGCTACTTTCCAAGTAATCGAGGTTTACTTCGATGCGAATCGTGGTCCGAATTGAGATTGTGAATCAAAAGTGTCTACACACATCGAAATGTTTACTGTTGATGAAGTCAACGTTCAAAACTGCTGTGGGTCGTCTTACTGCTGTTGCTTAAGTAGTCCTCTTCGCATGTTGTTTTCGCTGCTCTCTTTGCAGATTTGGCGAAGCCCAATACTAGACGGAAACTGGAATGCAAACAGTTGTTCAGAGCTGTTGCTTGGTGTCTTCTTCACGAATGCTAATTTTAGCGCTTTGCACATCGATAAGGAAACTGGCGCAACCGAGGTTAGGGGCGTTCTTCACTCCTTTCATCTTGTACTAACTGTTTGACATTCTATGACAATTCAATTTCCTTCATTTTGCTCTCTTCGTTCCTTTCTTCTTTTTATTTCCCTGTTGTCGTCATCAATCCGACGCGGTTCATCGCTATGCTTGGACTACATTTCTTAGCCTGTAGGCCCCTTTGCACCCTTCAAGTAGAGCTAAGTCGATATCAGGGCGTAAATGTTCCATTCTGACGCTTCAATCCCTACACTAACTTGGTCAATGGACAAGCTACGGTCTCATGGACCGAGCTGATTGAGAGTCGCTCCAGTGTGAATCGCAACCTCAATTGAGTTTGCGCATCACAATCCATTCGCACGCAACGGGTAACCCCAAACAGACCTACAACAAATCTTTGATTGTTTTGATAAACGAAACACGGTGGTGTACCGTTATGAGCTTCGTCAACCTGTAGCATCGGAACCGCGAGTTCTATGCGAAAAGCGCGATCAAACACATGCGGTTATGGTAACACAGATCACTCATCTTCTTCAGTTACTGTCCCAGTTCCAGACCAACTGGGCTTCACTTCAAAGTGAATCGCATTCTAACTTGGGATTTTATGTCACATTCCATCCACATGAAAAGTACCCCAAAAACGAGCAAAAATAAATGAAAATTAGTCGGTATTTTTCGTCCTGACGCGACTGGACATTCACGTGGTGCATTGGTTCGCTTACTTCCGTAACCCATTGCGTTCCGCGAAATGTCTTCAGAACCACTCATACCAGACAGATCAATGGTTATGTGTCAGAATAACTCAGTCTCACAATCCAATTCTCTTCGGATGTTAGAGAGAAATCGATGGCTCTCTTAAGACCTGATCATGGAAGACAACAGGTCTACGGGTTATAAGCTTACAGCTGGATTAATGTAGAGCACGAGAGTCACGCGTTATATCTGATGGTGGGAGGGCACAGACTTTTGCTCATTGACTACACGACTCAAACCAGGTGGCAGCTGATCAAATTGTTAAGAATCCACCAACTACCAGCGGTCGAAAAGCACGTGTGAATTGTTCAAAATCTTCATAGGGGGCATGTGACAGGCCTCAAGCAGATCCCAATAGGTTTCCACAGTCACACTGCCTTGTGGGTTAGACTGTTCATTCTAGACGTAGTGCACCTCAAGCAAAATCCTCTCGGTCAGAATGGGCAACTGGAAGACATCATCTGCCCTTTCGGTCCCGTCGACATCATCCCCTCCACTTCCTTCTATAGTTTTTCCGCGCTCATTCTCCTCTTCTTCGTCTATTTAGCAAGAGACTGCCGGTAACTTCGAAGCTGCTACCATCGTTGTAAGTAGCTCGTCCATCAAACCTGGAGTCTCATTTCACATCAGTACTTCTTAACCTCTGCACTCGGAGTCACATCGGCCGACAGACAGTAATAACTCTCACTCTCCGCTCTCGGTGCTGATGTGCACTGTGTCTCCGAAATACGTCTGAAAAATAACAGCGTTGTGACGCATTTTCTACTCCCTAGTTCCGAATCTGCTTACCGTGACTACACTCTTCGTGTCTCGCAATGCGGAGTCAATGACTCAAGACATTTATCCTGTCGGGATCGCCCTCAGCAGATATGCTAAAGGCAGTCTAATTAGCTAGGTGTCATTGAGTAGTCTCATGTATGCGGTTCCATTTGGAACCTCTAGTGGAGCAGCGTCCAAAGATAAGGTGCTTTTTATCGCCTCCGTTTGTTCACCTGTCGGCCGATGACTGAGTGGTCTACGCGCTTGGTTTGCAACCATAAGGTCCCCGGTTCAAATCTACATAGGGGTGGGCGTCATCGCTGTATACTCAGTCTGTGCGCGACTGGCGGTGGTCGCGCGGCAGCGAAGCGCCGTTACGGCGTACAGCTGTCACGTTTATTTTTGTCCACCTGATAATTGCAGTTCTGATGGTAAAAAGACGATTTCCATTTCCATCTTTCATCTCTACTCCGCATGGCAAAAAATACTGACATTGTTACTGTTACTGGGGACTTGAATGCCGAAATGAGTTGTCTTTCAGGTTCCGAACAACATCTGGGAGGTCGCTTTGGAGTCTGTGCACGCCGAACAGACACTGATGATTTATTTCTACAAATGTGCACTGACCACAATCTTTACCTTAGTAGCACTGCTGTCCAGTAAAAACGTTCCCATTGCGTCACTCGGTGCCCGCCGAATTCCCCAATGACCTGGATCCACATTGACAACATTACCACCAGCTATGGATGGCGCACATCACTTGATGACTGTCGGTCACTTTGGTGCACGTGCCTGGATTCTGACCATACTCTAATGCTTGTTCGCCTGACACTCGCTCTTCCCGCTTCATAGAAGCGCCTAACCTCTACTCTTACTTTTAATTTAACCCACAGTCTACATTTCATCAATATTGTGACGAACTGACACATTAGTTATCAGTGACGACTGATAAGGTTGAAGTTCCCATCGCTGGCTGAGATCGTCTGATGTGTACCATGATAAAAGACTTGATGCCTGCTGTTCATCCAACTTGAGAAGCTAGAATTATGAATGGATCTCTGCTCAGTCTGATCGAGGCATAAAAACAATTTTCGATGAGCGCTTAGTTTCAGCGTGTTTGTAGTGCCCTTATATGACGTTTGAATTTTAGCAGTGACCGGTAGCGTTGGTGGGGGACAAGGGCCCATGAGATGGAGAAGGCTAATACTATTGGGAACAATCCAGTGGTATTCCAGCTCATCCGGAATACGGGCCCGAGATAGCCCCTAGTGTGATGGTGGCTGAAAGCTGGGGCTATTGGAATCGTCGTTGTACTGACAGACCGGGGCCAATGAAATGAAGGTCGAACGCGCACAACTGGTCTGGTCCAGCGCACAAGAGAAAAAGTGTGATTTTCGACATCTGAGAAGCACCTTGGTCAGCCGTATGACTAGCGGACTCCTCACACCGGAGTCCAGGTTAACAACACACTGCTGTGTCAGCTAACCAGCCGGGGAAACATCACCCTAATTGACCAATGGCCAATCAGACGCGAGCCAAGAGAAAGGAGCAGGTGAAGCACATCGGGCCTGACACCTTGGCAGGACAGCCCACCTTTGGACAGCGGAGAAGCAGATTGGTCGGCTGTTCAACGAGCAGATGGGTTATGCCTGAGTTCATAATGACGTCACGCTCAGCTATGCCAAATAGACAACCGTAAGGCCATCGGCCAAATGGGCGGAGTGCCTGTCAGACGCCACCATGCAGCCTACCCAGGATGGCAACAACGAGTTTCGACTTAACCTTGGATTCATTAAGCATGAGTCGGGCCAACTGAAGAACGAGCACGAATCAATTGGATGGAGATAACATCACAGGCCAGTTAACATGGGTTAGCCAATAAACGGACGACAGTAGAATACCGTATGTAGTCTATAAAAACAGCGATTCTTTTTACTAATGATTCTGATTGACGCCCAGAATTTATTCTTGATTCCCGTAGGGTTACTTGACATTTAGTTTGTGAAATAATAGCTGTTTAAGATAAACAATTGATTCATTCTCATCTGAATAGACCAGCCAGTTGGGTGAAACATTTTGAAGAATATTTCAGTAGGCCTGCTGGTATACTGACGTTTGCTGAATCACTTGAGCTGACGTGGGAAATTGATGCCACACCTCAAATTCTGAAGGAGATTCGGCTTGAGTACGCCATGTCGAAACGACGCATAGCTCATGGACCTGACGACCTTGCACCATCTTTGCTGAAAGATCGAGTTAAATCTTTGTTAACTGAACTAATTTTCTTTACTGCGATTTAGGACACTAAAAAGCGCTTTCAGACCGGCGTCTGTTAACTGTCATGCCCACCAGCGTACTTTGTGCGAAAATTATCGTGGCATTAGCCTTTCTTCTATTGCTTTCAAACTTCTCGGCGGTACTCATTTTTAACAACTTACTTGTCCGCGTAAGTCAGACTTGCTTCCTCCCTCTTTCGTGCTTGCATCGACCTCACATGTACTCTTCGTCAAATGTTCGTATATATTTGCAACAGTCTACGAATAAACATGGAGCCATCAAAAACCATGGAAATCAAAGGAAGATACCGTTGTCGTGAAAAGTAAGCCGCGCGCAACACACAGGAGTCCATGGTTTCGTCAGAGGGCACGATACTATCTGGTTGTCCAGGCCGAGGTAGGGAGTTGACTAATGGGACACCACCGTGAGCGTTTGACTGAATAGCCTGCTCCCGTTTGATCACTTGCCAAACAGGGGCTCAATCCTCCCCACATTCTCAGCATCACATTGCTGGAATAAAATGCTCTACCAAGTGAAGCAAAGGGCACTGACTTTGTTTAGTAACGAGGCACATCCACCATGTCACAGTTTTGTTATACGGACATATGTGGCTTTGTATAGGGGAGAGCGCTTGCCAGACGAAAACCAACCACTTCCTTGAACACTGCTGCTGAACTGTTTGCTGAAACAGAAAAAACCCGAACTACTCAGCTGGCACCACGAGGTCGTTCGACAAGTCAGCCTTAAGTGATATAGCAGAGACATACAGTCGACTGACTATGTTGGTTTTCCTTGAGTTGAAAGTCACCTTCGACTTTGTTGATCAAGCCAGCTTGTGATGCATCCTAGTCTGAAGTCTGCCGCGATTTCCGAGGCCAGTTGTAAGTCTAGGGGAAGCTCTGTTTTGATTTCTCCGTGACAAGTGGGGTTCGCCAAGTTTGTTTTATATCTCCTTTGCTACTCAGCTTTGTGATCGAAATAACCATGAATGACTCGGTTCTTTCAAACTATACTGATGTGGAAGTTTTGTCGCGTGCCGAACTGATAAACATTGAATGTACTGGCGACTTAGCTCTACTTGAGTCTGTTGAAGTGGCTATACACTCACTGCTGAGCAGACTGATGCGTAACACCGCATGCCTCAGCATGGGCTTTGCTTTTAGAAGTGCAAGGTGTTGTTGCAAAATTGGACCTATGTGCCACCGGTTCTAGCTCTCAGCGAACAGCCATTAGGAAGTGGTGAATCGGTTCACTAACCTCAATAGCTGTCTCAATTATCGCGGTCACATCACTGGTGTAGTTACTCCGCGTATCAGCATCGCCCATTTGGCATTTCAGAGGTCCGCCTAGGTAGATTAATGGATATGAGCCAGTCTGTCCAGCGATGGTGTATAACGCTTGGACAAGACCGGTGTTACTGCATAGATTAGATAGCTGGACGATTTGCCACGTCGGACCACCGGTGCTTGCAGAGTATTGCTCACGTCTAGTGGGAATACCGGGTGACCGATGCTGGGATGCGCCAGTTTGGTTTTTAGCAAGAAACCTTTTGGTATTTGCCAATTCTCATCCACTTACGGTAGGTAAGTGATATCTTCCTTACGCTGGTTGACATGCTCCCTTTATTAGCGTTATACGCCGGGGCTACACAAAGTTGTGCGAAACCGCGAGATGGTCAGTCCATGACGTGTCGTAAAGACATGAAGCAACTGGCCAAGACACTTAGGATGGTGCATGACCTTTTCGTATATATGGGTCTCGGGATAGCCCACACCAACGGTTGTGACCTTGTCGGAAACGGTGCAGTCTATGCTGTTTCTGCATTCGGTTTCTTGCGTTTAGCTGTTAATCCCCATTCCATCCACATTCGTTTAACGTGCCCCCTTCTTTACGATACTTTCTTAATGTTGCATTTGCACTCAACCCCATTTTCTTACCGTTGTTGTTTATTGTTATTCTGGTGGTGGGAGTACTGACAACTGGATCCACTTACACGTCGGTGCCCAGATCGCATTTGTTCAACTGTACTGAATTAGACTGAACTTGACATTTTCGCTGTTTTTCTTGCGCTATTTTCCACATTTTGTATGTATATCATTTGGATTTCACTTTTGTCTGATTTCCATTGTTTTTTGTCACTGACGGATACAATAGTATTGCTCTTGCACTCGAGACATTACGCACGCACACACATACACACAAATGCCTTGCTTGTCTCCCGTCTGTTTTGCAGTTACGACTTACGACCCCAGTGCATAGTAGGTGCATCCCACTTGGATACTCGAATTTGTCAAGCCGCTTCCTGGTAAGTGGTACCATTATTTTGTTATACCACAACGCTCTTCGATTTTGGAGTCAAATCAAATTCGCCGGGTATGTCGTAATCATTGTCTCGTGTGTGCCCACAGAATTTGGATTACCGTCTGCCATCTATGCGCTTGAATTATTCCCAAGATGCTCTGATGTGACTAATCGATATCACACCCACTATATTGTTGAACACGTTTTTAAGCATTCCTTCCAGTATGATGGGTGCACCATATTAGGCGTCTACACTCATGGTTTTTTAAATGGTCACGGTTTCTATATCTGCTTATCCCTATACATTCTTATTGCCTCTCCAACAATGTCTGTTGATTCGATGATCGACAAAAGATCTTTACTCACCGTACGTGCAAACAAATTGCATTGCCTACTTTCAGTTGTACGCAGAATCTAACTTTTTGATATGGGTGACGGCTGACACTTTCAACTTTCGCATGTACCTCCGCTACTTGCTTTAGTGAATGAATGACGTGAACGATTTGTGGGACCTACGCATCTTACGAACTATTCGTTTTGTCATCACCTAGCTAGCCTATTCTGCCCTCCAGTCCTGCTCATTTTTCAAGTGTCTATATGATTGTCGCAGAATTCCACAGTCAGTTGTTGCCGTCAGCGTCCGACTATCTGTCACCTTGACTGAGAACAATCACGGGACGTATACGCCTCCAGAGGGTTATGGGTAGTGGCCTGCGTTATATTATCCACGACTTCCTTTTTCACACTAAGTATCCAAGCTAGGCCATTAGGAGTAAGGCCTACAGACATGCGCTTGTCACTGAAACCACGAATCTCAGCCACTGGAAGCGTCGACTCAGACGCAGTTAAAATGTTTGGCCCATAAGAATCGAACTGAATCATGTGTCTCCTACGCGCGAATTCACTACCCAGAGAGTTGCGTTTTGCCTGAAGAAACTTATTTAACCCATGCTTCTTCTGATCTTAATTCAGTTTACCCGGATATCATGATGCATGCGCAAACAGTCGTGTTCACCACGGCTGGCCTGCAGTTACGCTCCCTATAGTACGAACGAACTGTCACTTCTCAATCACATATTCCATCCTCTAATCTGTGCTGTCTCATGCGCGCCGAATTTCATATGCGAAACTGCAATTTCGGCTTCCCTTGATTATATCTGCGCATGTGTCGGATCGTGAACTAAGAGCAAGAAACATCTGTACAGCAGGATGTACTCTCACAATGTGCACATCTCAGCAGACTTGAAGTGCAAAGGGATCTATTTAATGTGATTATATATGAGTCCCAACGGTCAGCGGCCGAGCGGCTCACAGTGCACATACCGCAGATTCGAGCTTATCTAGTTGCTGGCAGCCTTGCGTGGTGTCTATGTGTCAGCACGAGGTACTGGTGTATTACTGATATCTTTATTATTGTTCGTAATCGTGTTCTAAGGTCGGTCGGTGGCCAGAAGAATTGCGCATCTGTGTTGTGATCCTAAAGTCACTGGTTTGAATGCGCGTAGATGCGGGTCACATCGCAGTACGTCCAGCTGTCGCGCGACTGGTGGTGGTTTCGTTGCAGCAGTCTGGGTACGATGTGCCGACGTACTGCTGATGCCTTGTTTACTTGATACTCTAAAACCAAATGAATTTGAAGGGAATACACTGGACGTCTTTCTGACACCGGTCGGCAATGCGCACTCCGTTCGACAACACTAGCAACTTGGGCGGATGTAATTCGCGCTGCTAGCGAACCTCAGTGGGACGAATCGGCTTTACATCGCTTTCCCAAGTGTTGTAGCTCATATGCCCAAGTCTGTTTGCGCAGACGGTCATTTTTCTGCAGTATCTTACTCTCCTCACAATTCTCTTGTATACCAAATTTAGCTTATTGGATCTACCGACACACTTGCGCCCACTCGCGCTTTATGCACATCACTTTTATATTTCAATTTATTTCCTTTGTTTCCAGCGCTGTCATCTATGCAAATCGTCACATTCTGTCTCTGTACGAACGCTCTCATCCACACCGACTGGCTCGTTCGTCTGTGCGCAATTCTACCGCACTGAACCCTCTTGGCGGTGACGGCCTCCTCCCACCTGCTGCTCCTGTAGCCACACTGAACGGCGAGACTCCTACGGATACCTCCGGTCCGACCATCATCGGCCATGTATTCATTCACTCCACGGCAACAGTTGACCGAACAGCTGTGGTGAGTGCAGCATACATACTCCATTTAGTTTTTATCCAAGTTTCGATGAAGTACTCGTCGTGCGGCTTCCATCTATTCTTACGTCTTGTGATGCATGCCCACCGAACGCAGTTACACGTGTCTCCATGGCTCTAGACAGTTCCGACACGTCGTATGCAGCAAGTATAACTCGCATCATCACGCGCGTTCTTTCATTTATGATGAATCAGGCTTGCGTAAACTTGTGCAATTCCCTGCGCGGTCACACCTAATGCACTGAAATGAAACGCTACGTCTAAATGGCTAGCTTCGAACTGGAATGTCGTCTTAAGCACTCTTTGTGTATTATCTGCCGACTGGCACAGACGCCGACGCTCTGTGATTTAATGTGCTTTTTACACCATTTGGTGGACTACTCGATTCCTACGATTTGAATCCACCGTCATTTGTAACCGTATTTGATACCCCTTTTCCGAAATCATTATTTCTTTATTGTCACTTTGTTGTCTAGTCGGCCGGTGGCCTAATGTTATGCGCGTCTGGTTTGCAACCATTAGGTCACCGGTTCGAACCCGCGTAGGGTCAGGCGTCCACGCGGTATACTCACCTCACGCGCAATTGGTTCTGGTCGCGTGGCAGTGAAGCGCCGTTACGGCGTGCAGCCGGCGATTTATTATCATTATTCTGTGTTGTCTACGCTTTCCTCCGGTGCGGCAATAACCCACCATAGTAGTCGATCCTTGTTTTTTACACAATGATTGTTTAGCCAAACTTATGCTATTCATACATACGACTGGCTTCATTCGTCCTGTTTTCACCACTGCGCACCTTGGATAGCATCTAAAGCCTTCCAGTTTTCCTGCGGGATTTAGCAGAAGCATCGCTTACTTTTATCTCTGGAACTATAGCGTTTTCTCTCATTTTACCAATTCTATAACTTCAATCACACTATCTTATCATACAATTGCGATGGTTGCGTTCTTTGCACCTCCCTCCCCTAACGTTATCGCTATGTTCCATTCTTAGCTCGGTCCGAATGTGAGCATAAGCGAGGGTGCCATCATACGCGGGGGTGTTCGATTGCGTGATTGCATCGTGCTACGTTATGCGGAGATTCGTGAACATGCATGCTGCCTGAACGCGGTTATCGGTTGGAACGCTATCGTTGGTCAGTGGGCCCGTGTTGAAGGCACTCCAAATGACCCGAATCCAGACAAACCTTTCACCAAGTTGGATGTTTTACCGGTCTTCAATACGAAAGGCCAGCTGAACCCATCCATCACCGTCATCGGTGAGTTTCCATTGCACGCTTGCTATTGTGCCGCAATACAAAAATATAAGATAAATGACAAATCGTACTGTTACTACCATTACAAAAAAACGACTCGTGTAGTATTATGCACCAGTAATGCGATCGTCGTTACAGAGGGAGGCTAAAGCGGAGGAGAAGGAGCGAAGAAACTTACAACACGAAGGTTTTTAAGGTCGGCTCTTCGCCATGTCTACAAGTGTACCCAAGCAACCATGTTTGTCTCCCTTGGGATCCCAGTCTGACAGTCGGGAGGCACCGACCGACAGCAAATTCGAAGTGAGGTTGTTTTATTCCTCTTCACCAAGTCCTCGCCTGGCCTCCCCTCCTCTTCTTCCGCTCAGACTCCGGTCGCGCAAACAACGCATGTCGCGGAAGCCAGTGTGCAGGCGCATCAGTGAGTTTGATATCGTCCCATGCCGTTGTGACTGAATTCAGATCACAACTGGACACATAAGCTGAATCAAACTGTCCACGGCTTATCGCTTATTATTTACAATCTGGTCGCGTGAATCACTTCTGCTCAGGTTTTCCCTTCGCTATTTTTGGTTGGTCAATTTTCCAGGTGTCAAACTCCTGCAGCCAGTGAGCTGATCTTTTAAGCTACACCATTGATGTTGTAAATAGAGCTTTGCGGCGATTCGTTCGTGAAAGCTGATATTATTGGCTAGCGGTTTTGTCCAACTCTGGGTCATATTTCTATTGGTTTTGGCCGAAATTTTATTGCTACTCAGTCATGATGGTCCAGGCTGATGAGTGTCGGGGAAAACGTAAGAATACAGGATGGAAGAGTATCTAACCATCGATTTCCCTGACCCCATCTCCTTGAAGCAGCTCCTCGATGCATAAATACACTCCGGTGCACAGTTTTCATAGGCTCGTCAGTTGTGAAGCTAAACATAAAATTTATATCGTTCCTCCATCTCACACCGTTGTTGAAGGTCGGTGGTAATTTAACATAAGCACTAATTTCTTCCCAAACAATATCTCCCAACGTATTTGCTTATTCCACGGGACACCTTTCCTTATCAATTTTCCCCGGGCGCACTCTTGGCCGTCGTCTGTTAAGCATATTGCGATTGTTTCTAAATTTAATTTTCATGTATGCGCTGTCCCAGATGTTCGTACACGTATTTGTCTGTGTTCGTGCGATCTTGTTGTATGCTTGCGAATCTTGGCCGCTCCGCGAAAGCTTTCGGCGTTTGACAGTGGCTATTTACAGACCATCGCCTATGTGTGATGGCAACACCCAGTGCGCAGTAATGATATCAAATATCGCGTCTTTGAGCAATGCGGATTTTCCTCTCCGTGGGCTTGTTCCCTCACACCATTTGCAATGATTTGGCCACATTCCACCCATGCCTAACGAACGGTTACCACCTCACGCTCTTTTTTCCATACGTAAGGCCGCATTGGAAGTGACTGCTTGGAGGTCAGTCGACCATTTGGGGACAAAGCGTGAAATCATTGACATCTTGCCTAGCTGTCGTTGCCCCCCTGTGTACCCCTTCCTGGTGTGGGACCCAGGATGAAGAATGCTATTGGCTTACAACGCTTAAAACAATGGGCTGAACTCGGTTACAGTGAAACTAATATTCCCTAGCTTGCATGGATCCCCGACTTTCAAAGCATTAGCTCCTAAAATGCGGCCAAAAAGCGCAAGATGGCATTCGGAATGGGCAAAAAGACTGATGTTTTTGTGTTTCTTCACAATTGGTTCTTTTTCTAACTGTTGTACATCCTATTAGTTCTTCCTCTTAATTTCATGGTTTTCTATGAATCGTGTCGTGCACTCATCAAATCTTCTGCGAGTTGGCATTGACACGTCATCAACCTTCGGAAATGGGGCAGCAGGTATAACGCTTTAGCATTAGCCACTCGAAAGCAATTGCAGCGCATTTGGGGATTGCATTTCGATTGCACGACTTTGCTGCTACTACCTACAGCTACATTGTATGAACGTTTGGACCGCAGTGTTCTCACTTGTATTCGTCCACTTTAATGCAGTGAATGACAGACTAGTTCTCCTTTGCAACCTCTGTGAACTGTCTGAATGCAGAACGTTGCTCATGGATCTCAGTGACCTAGTGATCAAAGCATCAGCCCTTAAAACCTAAGTTCCACGACCAGCTCAGGTACTTCCACCTGATAAGTCAGAACAAAGGCGAAACCGGTCCTGAAAACGAGCAACACCGCAACCACTCCACTATCCTCATACCGTTTGATTGCTCTACCATCTCAGGATAACAACGCTTTGGCGGTTTTGCTTTTTTCTTCCAATTTGTAGTCGCTTCTTGTTTCTGCTCGATGATTGAGTCATTTTTACAGGGTTTGAAGTAGTGCTACTACTTCAGTAGCAAGGCTTTTTAATTTTACTTTTTCTTTTATCGCTAGAGTTTCATCGTTTTCCCTTTACTTCCTCTACTCTAGGCTCCAACGTGGAAGTCCCGGCGGAGATCATCGTGCTCAATTGTATCGTTCTTCCGTACAAAGAGCTGGTGCATAGCTCAAAAAATCAAATCATTCTGTGATCTGCTGTGTATACTCGTTACTTTTCTACTTTCCTGTTCCCGTTCATCATTTTCCACTCTCTTGGCGCTTTCATGCTTTCGTACACCTGCTCACAAAAGTCTTCGTTTCGCAGACCTCACAGGTGTTTCTGATTTTTCAATTCGTTTGAACCGCTGCTTGTTACTATTTCTCCCAAATTGCTTTTGTTCCTCTGGCCATCCTTGTGCTGAGCACCCGAAGATGTTTGGATGCAAGTTCTGTATTGGTCGGCAACACGGCCTATCCATTTCTCTCTGTTATCCACTCTAACACGCACTCTATCTGCGCACCGCATATTCTCGATGTGATTGTTATTCGTGGGTTTCCTTTACCACTTTGTTATGACCTAAGCTTTGCTCACGAGGTGTGTATTTGAATGTAGACAGGTTCTGAGATTCCCCTTAGCTCTCCTTTTCTTCCTAAGTGCAATCCAAATATTTTGTTTTATGCGAAGGCTTCCACTTCCTTTTTACGACACGTATGTGTGGTTTTCGCGCACCCGCTTTGTTTGCTGGTGCTTCGAGATGTAGGTTTATTCGATACTCTCTCTATGCCACTGATGCGTCATCTTCTGTCCTAAATATGGTTGGTAGAACGTCACCATTTATCTAAACTACCACACACCTCGCCGGAGCCCTCGCTTTTCCGGATGATCTTGTCCGGTGATCAGAGACCGACCAATTATTGGAAATCCTGTTTTAAGGACATTATCCTTTACCCTGCTGTTGTTACAGGAGTGGGCTGAAAACATATCATCAAACCCGAACTTTTTTCTTATTCATATTGCTCCCATTGGTCTCACCAACACGCTTGCCCTTCCCTCAGCGAGTACTGAGCTGGTGCTCAGGCCAATTCTTCCACTGTGAGAACCAGCGCACACTTAGTCCGCATCTTTTGCACACTTGCGTTGTACAGCGCTTTGTGTCTCCCATTCACGATTTCCAGCTAGCATTTCGTTGCCGGGTATTCTTCCTCTGGCATCTCTGCTTCCTCTGATTTTCAAACAAACTCATCAATTGTGTGTCTCATCACGTGTTTGATCTGCGCAGTACTTCATTTTGTGTCCATTTTCCCGTTGCAAAGTGTTTGAGCCAGCTTATCCCAGTTGTCATTATTTGGGATTTCAGCTTCATTCAACGTATCGATAAGACCACTTCGCACTGCAAATATTGAGAGACGGGTCACCTTCGATCACGGATGCTTACACTCAACTAGGTTACCGAGTTAACAAGGCCAGTTATTGTTATGCTAGAGACTCTATGGTGCCGCATCGGAATGTCAACTAGGCTGGCTAAGTCATGTCCCCCCATTCGACCGCTGACCACTTATCTTGGCGCGGATTATATGGTTTCGCTGCACGTAGTTAGGCAAAACCATGGGGTGCAGGTTTTGAGCTGTTCTCCCAGCTGAGTGATCATGGTGCGACGTTTCGTTGCCTGTCTAGGCAACATCATCAGTGCGGCTTCAGGGGCCTGGTTCTCAGTGCCTCGTAAGCGGCTTCAATGTCCAAGTGCTTATTGATCGAGTTCTGCTTTGAATGCCAGGCTTCAATGAACTGACGTGCTTGCAGGCTTTTAGCTCTTCCGAGGATACTGGCATACTCTAGGTCGAATTGATGGTTCTCAGCATCCATATGCACTGACATCAGGGAGTTCTGATCGTAGCGACAAATGGCTAGGCTGTGTTCGTGTAGCCTTGTGCCAAGCTTTCTTCCAGTCTGTCCCACATAGTATTTGTCGCAGTTCCGGCAGCAGATCTTATAAATCACACCAGTTTCTTCCTCTTTGCTAAGTTTATCTTTCACTTTGAAGAGTTTACAATGGGGTGGCTAGTTTATGGCGCATCATAAATGTGAAGAAACTGTACATGAGATTTCGTTAGGTTGTTGTGTGCAGTCCCTGTGGGGATGAGCCCAGCGATGAGTGGCAAACCCTATCGGACGGCTCATTTGTGCCATTTTTACTTGCTGTTGTCATAGTGACACGGGTCGTAGCAACTGGATCCACTGCACTTCTCTGCCCGGGTCATTTATTATTGTTTATCTGAACTCAGGTGAACTGCCTACCTGCGGGTTATCTACTCGCTTTACTGTTACAAATGTCCTTTTGGGCACGGGCATTTTCCATCAGTTTCTTGTATGGATTTCTCTATTCAAGTCAGCCTTACGGGCTACCCGACCACGCCGTCTCTCCCTACTTAGACTCACTGGATAAACCGAGCTACAGAAAACCACAAACTACCATTTCCTACGTGCCAGCTATTTGGAGGCATTGAAATACGCTATTAATCCCTCTCCAGCTTACGCTGCGACTGGAAATGGCTTGGAGTACCACCCCTTTCGATTCCGTCAGATTATAGGGGACCAAATCACTGCCTATCAGTCACCGTCTTTTTGTACTGGTTTACTTCCACTTCTGTTTACTGCCAACTTTTAAGCTTAGCTCCGATTTGCCGGGTCTTGGCCGAAAGAATTATACATCTGCTTTGTAATCCTGTAGTCGTCAGTTCAACTCCGCGTACGTACGAGCTATGTCGCAGTATACTCAGTTTTCTCTTCACGCTGCTTCCCACAGACAGTGTGACTTTTACCCCAGTGTAATTATTAATGCTGCAATTGATGTACCCCATCTGTGTACACTTTGACATTTGATGCTCCATTCTGGTCTGGGCGCTGTATACTCCTGTCTCTCGGACGCGATTTCCGCAATGACGCTTCTCATTCCTAAACGTTACCCCGCTACCCCTCTTCACGTTCCACCCGTGTGTATTTTTAAACAGTTTACGACCAATTGCAATTGTTTTGAACCACATGACTATTGGTTGCGGCTTTCCTGAAACCATCCATCTCCCAGGCTCTATCAATGATTTGTGCGCTGTCCGTTGCCTATCCCCAGTCGTACGATGCGATTGAGTTGCTGAACGTGATTTCAGGTCTCACGAATTTATATACCATTTTCATTCTTTTACACACCGGTTTACAACATTACACCATAGGTGCAGTTAATGAATATGGACAACGACTTAAAATGCAAACAGTTCAACCTAACAGGCCAGCTCGAATGGGGTTACATAACATCAGAATGCCCGAACGGAGGATATGGCACTTAGAAACCGAGTCCAGGAGCGCGCTTATCTCTTTACTTTACTCTCAGGCTATATTCCCGCTTTCGACGTAATCCATCCAGGGCTTTCTCACCTCTCATGCGATGGACAGTTAAAATAATTTTACTTGGTGTCACGCATTGCGTGTGGTACATTGACTTGTATGCAAGGCTTGTTCGAGTTGCGGAACCGGCATAAGTTAGGTCACCGAAGGCTCAGGGATGTTTGTGTATGATACGAAGTTCCGTTTGCTCGTAGCGCCAGCAATTTATCTTATGCTTTTAGATGAATATATTCCGCTTTTTAGACTCGTTGCCGGTCCGTAGCCTAAAGGTAACATGCTTATTTTGTAGTCTGACGGCGCGGATTTGGGCCTGCGTAGGGGCAGGGCGACTCACAGTATCCTTAGCCCACGTGCGACTGATGGTTGTGCAGCAGCGAGACATCAGTATTGCGTACTGCTGATGCCTTTTTTACTCTTTGCAACATCGTTTCATTATCACAAATCCTCATTTTCGTGTTTTTGCTCGTCTTTCTGTAGGCATTCGAGCAGCTAGTCTTAACGTTAGGACCTATTATTTCTTGCATTTCGAGGATAGTTCCAGTTAGATTTCCAACCACTTGACCGTCTTTGTCGGTTCCCGTCGATCTAGCATCGATTCCTGTGAGATTAGCAAAGGCATCACATGACTTATGGTTCAAAGCAAACTGGCACCCTTAATACTGTTCACCTTCTTATTCAGGCGGCGTTTACAGCACCACACCGTGACATCTTTGTGCCGGTTCCCCCAGTTCTGCTGGTCTGTGATCGATCTGCCCCCCTCAAATAACCTTCACTCGGATTGGTCTAAGGCAACTGAATCGTGTCACTCTACTTTCAGCTTTCGTTTCATCGCTATTCTTAGCTACGGATTCTCCGTTCGTCGTTATTTAGTTTAGTTATTACACTGCAATTCAGAAACCCAACATCAATGCATCCAGCTGCTTGATGCATACTCTTTGTAGTCGGAACATCTTGTGTAGTCAAGTCTGTCCACATATCAAGCCCCTGTTTGGACTGAGTCCACTCCTGACATCACCTCTCTGGCCGTCTACCGTGTCCTATTTTCTGTGTCACTATTTCCGAGTTAGTCACGTTCTGCTTCCAAATTATACCCACCCGTACTCGGTAGCATTCCACCAGTCTGCAGCGCGAAAATAAAGGTTTGACGAAAATCAGACAATTCTTTTTATGTAAGCGTTTAATATCCCGTTTCTTGCATTAAACACTTATGTACTGGGGAATACCTACTTTGTCAATGGTTCAATGTGCACATAACTAAGAGGACGCAATTTGATGTGTGAAACCAAATCAGTAATCTGTTACGGTAGGTGAAAGAGTAGAAACGCCAGTTACTAACTAATGAACAGCTGTCAACATGGATGGTGTGTGCGCAAATGCCTGCATTAAACTTCATGTAAACATAAACGCGGCGTTCCCACAATCAGCAGTTTAAAAAATTAAACATAGCAGTTTTCATGTTATATACAAAACTTTAGTACTCGTTCCTTAAAACAAAAATATAGTGGCCTCGATAATTCACACGAAACTTATTGTAGTGAATTGTTCATTTTCTAGATGTAAGTTAATTGTGTTTGCACACCAGAGGTTTTATCCTAGCTTTTCTTTATCTCTATACTGATTGCAGACTGGTGCGACGCTCATTCTTGCATTACGCTATATTCTACTCGGTAACTGAGTTGCTTGTGAGACTGGGGATTTGACCGAGAGATCGCTTTTGTGTTGGCGAATCAACTCTTCGTGCATTTGAATTTGGGAGTCGTTAGGAACTTGCTCACTTTGATATATTACTTTTGTTCAGTAGCATCGTTATCTCAG